CTAGACCAACTTATATTTCAGAATGTGATTCTTATAATAAAGATAGGACTTATCACAGTGGAGCAGTTTTACTTTCTTTTTTCCTTCTGAGTTCTCCTTTGACTTCATGTAAAGGCCAGTATAGGATTTCCTGAAGAAGTGTCAACACAGCAGTTTAGGCTCCCCTCAGGTAAGAAATAACTAAGTAAAAGAGATGAAGGTCCCTCCATGAACTTAACAAAAACAAGTGAGATGAAAGAGTAGTTCAAAGTGCTGAGTACTGCATCCACATTTGTTCCTTTTTAATTTGGGGTCTTCTCTTCTTCACTTTCTTCTTCACATAGTTGCAGAGAATCTGCACTTACAACTAATGAAACTTCGTTCCAGAGACTTTCAATAAAACTGTTTCTGTGATGCTTCTTATAAATACAGGAGCTCAGTGTTTCATAGTCCAACATCTTAAAGGAACTAATTTTCCCAGTGAAACCAAATCAAGTATATTTGACAATTAAAGTTTTTCAGTTATCACATCCATAAATAAAATTAGACAAACATTAAAACATACCTTCTTTGGAGCTATTTAAGTATCAAATATAAAATTTAAGCATGGCAGCCAGCTTTGTCCTCAATTTGCTTGTTCTCCTTAACTTTGCAGATGGGGAAACTGCTCTTTTTTACCTAAAGGACTTAACCTGTTTGTGAGTCTGTGCTAATAGGCAAAGGATTGGCATTTTAATTAACTGTATTAATTACCTACTAAATAAATTAGTATCCCAGAAAAATTGTCACAGATATTGAGCACACGATGAGTAATATCTAGTAGTTTTATGTAGTATCCGCTTCAGGATAACTCTATCTAGTTAAGTTTGTGTGGGTGGGGGAGTTTGCTTTCCGTTCATTTAGATCTTTGTACTATCCTGTTATCTCAAGGATCTGGGAGACACTGCAATGCTTATAGACAGTGTTTCACAAAGTGATTTTATTGTATTGTTTACTGTAGACAACTGCATTACCAAAGTGATTTTATTGTATTATTTAGTTTTCTTATTTGTTGCTAAGAAGAAATGGTGATTGCTTTGCCTGGGCTTCAAAGGGGTATATGTGTCTTCTTATACTTTTCGTTTCAATTTTTGTATGTGGGTTTTGCTCTTTACTATGTAGCTAGGTTAATTTTTATAACTGTTTCTTGTTTATTTTCTCAGTATATTCAAACTAGATTTTTATTATTTAATTTTTAAAATTAAATTATTGGTAACACTATCTCTTTAATCTTTATTTTCTGCCATTTTTTTTAATAGCCATAGACTTTATTTAGTAAGTTAGCTTATTCTACAAAACACTACAAGATGGAGGTTAGGTGGGCATCAAATTGCAAAGTCGTCCTAAGGGGAGGTTTGGAAATGGTTCTACTTTCTTTTAAGAAAAAAATAAATTATAGTTCCAGAAGTTACAGGTATTTCATGTTAGTACTCAAAAGCATGCCCTGTTATAGTAAATATATACCAGAT